ATTAACACATATGATTTCATATTAATATATTATAACTTATAATATATTAACAAATCATATATAACCTTCTCTCAAGAATCCATCCTAACAAATTGTCCTGATGATATGCAACCCAATTGGACCATGCTACTCTCGAGTCAAGTACACACCAATAATAGTTAGGGGCTTAGACATCTAATCCAACAATAATCACATGTAATTTAATACATGAGAACAATTAACGAATCGAGAATGCGGAAATGAATCTTGTCTGCTTGTCTCAACAGAGAACAAACTACATTCTGTATTTCATTGTTCACTCTACCGGATTAGGGTATCCGTGAACAATAATTTAAAACAAGTAATCCTTACATAATAGGAGAGTTAGCGTAACTCACCTCCTTAAACTTGAAAATTAGCTAGCATGAGCTAGATGGATCCTTTCCTTTCCGAGAACCTACACAACAATTATAACATTATTTAGCTTGTGCTTTGTTGTATTACTCTTATAAAACTTATGTACATATTTCCTTATTTTCTCTTTGATTGTAGTGCTCTGTTTGAGATCTGTTTTCTTACCTTTCAACCCATTCATAAATTTCGATGAAATAATATCAGTACATTTCCCCTATTATCTTTTTAGAAATATAAAGATCTCATTCTAATGAGATTTGGTTGATTTTATATTAAGTTTACAAGCTAGTAACTTTAAGCTGTCACTTTCTGGACCACTCAACACTCTTGTAATAAACTGTACTAATATACTAAGAATTACATCAACCCCTTTATATGTGGGAAACTATACCATGTAGGAAATCTATGACAACATGGACCAACCTGAGAAGATTGCCAATTTTACCCCTCAAGGAGTTTGAATTTCGAAATGTGATTCAAAGTTTGAAGATACTAGGCACACTAATATTTCCAGAAAACTAAGTCTCATGATTTTTAGGTATTCTTATTGACTTGAACAAAATTTATAAGTTGGAGGACAGATTTGGGAAAATTGATCATAATAGCTTTTAAATCACTTTTGGTGTTCTATTAAGGACTTAATGGTTACGCCTTAATTTTATCACTTTTAACATGATTGTTGGTTACTTATTAGGCTATTGAGATGTGAAATTCAATTTAACCTAAGGGCCTTAATGCTTGGCTTAATGAGGGTTCAAGGCTAAGGATTTTCACATAAAATGCAAATTTTACTCTTATTAGGTTCTTTTCAGACAACATGATAAACATCTTGTGTGCATGAAATCCTATAGTGATCATCAACTCTCTAATAGACTCCAATCCAGCCCCTAGAGCTTAATATTTTCATTTATCATATGAAATAAATTAATCAAGAAGCAACCTAAGAGATTCCACCTCTACTTGTTGATTTCTTGATACTAAAGCCAATATCAGGCTCCCAACATGACCAGATAGAAGATGATAGTTTCCAAAATATGAACTTACATAGCTATAGAAAACAACTAAGTGACCATGGAAGATGGAAAGGGCAACAAAATTGGTTATTGGCCTCCAACAAATTCCTCTACAAATTCAATTTCAAATAGATATACCAAATTGGTCAAACTAAATTATAAAATGAAATATTTCTTAATGAATTTATTATAAAACTATGCTTCAAAACCCTTAATCTAATAATAAATATAAAAAATTGGAAATGGAATTACATAGGATAAGGATAAGGAAGCATACCAATCACTCAGAACAAAATGCCTATATTGGCTCATTCATTGATGTTCTTCAGATGAATGAAAAAACAAAGCAACAACTCCAACTCCATCTCCAACAAGCTCGATACAAAGAGGTTTTGGGCAGTAGCTTCGTAGAATCGAGGACTTGACTGGTGGCAGATGAATATATGTATTGGAGATTAGTGAAATTCAGGTAGCATCGGAAATCGTAGAGAGGTCGGCGATCAGAGAAGTGGTGAAGATTGACATCTTCAATTTGATGCATAGCTGCTTTAGTGTTTTATATTCTTATCTCCTCTATGTGTCTTGTTACGGGAATGTAATAACTTTAAGAAAATTACATATACACCATTACTTCATTAAAAGTAACGTGTTTGTTTTCTATTGCTGATTTTTGTTCTCAAATGTTCTCAAACCCATAAGTGTTCTCATTTGAACATATGTATATATATATATATATATATATATATATATATATATGGGACGGTTCACTTGAAAGTTTTAAAAAAATAGAGGTCTTCAGATTCAACCTCAGCCACATATTTCTCATTTGCTGCTCTAACGCTCCAGCGTACCGGCGGCATCGGGTTACGCCTAATCATAAATGATTATATGGCAGCGAGGTGTAATCATATATGATTATAGATGTTTATATGTATATGTCTAATCATAAATGATTATACATATGTTTATTCAGATATTGAGTAATCATATCTGATTACAACGGTTGGTGACATAATAGGTGGAGGTAGCAGAGGTGGCGGTGGCATAAGTGACGAAGGTGGCAGTAGTGGGGTCGGCTGGTGACAGAGGTAGTGGTAGTGGTGGTGGGGAAGGTGGCGGAGGTAAAAAGGAACGAGCAGTGGTATATAATCATTTATGATTATAATGACCTATCACGCCGGTACGCCGAACGGTTAGAGCGGCAGATGTGAATTATGTGACTGAGGTTGAATCTTAAGATCTCTATTTTATTTTGAATCTCAATGGAAGCTATATATATATATATATATATATATATATATATATATATATATATATATAATAATATATATATATATATATTATATATATATAAGAGAGAGAGAGAGAAATGATAATTTGAGAATTTATAGTTTTCCAAGAACCCAAGAACTAAATTTAGACCATCAGATAAAAAAAATAAAGGGCTGATATTTCTTATGGCAATTTCGTAAATATCCGAAAAAAAGAGACACGAGAGTATCTAAGTTTTTTGACTCAGGGGCGTTATTGGCATTGATATATGAGATTAAAATTCATCCCTAAAAGCTAATCTAAGAATTACATCGAATCTCTTTCTCTCTCTCTCTCCCACTCTCTCCCACCAAAACCATTGCCGCACCTACATTTCGCCGATGATCACTCACATTCTCCGTCTGTCGTGCCTTCTAATCAAGACTAAATTCCAACTGAATCGGCAAAATCGATGTTGCCTGCTATTGCACTCATTACGCCGCCCCCACAATTTACCTAGAATCGAATATTGCAAAGCCTTCATCATGTCTACGATCTACAGTCATGCTATGGAATTAATTGGTCTTCAATCAGATCTTTCAAAGATCAATATCATTCATTCACTACCTACAAAAATCCTCTGTCTTAGTTGCCCCGATTTTGAATTCAGAACTCTGATACGCCTTTTTAAAGTCAAATATGATTTTTTGGCTCTGTACTCGTCGTTATCTTCCTTTTTTCTATTATGTTTTTGAGTGATTTATAAGTTTCCTTATGTGAATCATTTTTTGTAATAGAACTTTGGAACGAATTTGAAACTCCTGACATCGATTATGGGTCTGCTACGCTAGGTTTCAATATCAAAGTTCACTTGTTGTGTTGATGATCGAAAGGAGGTGAAGGTGAAAGTTGTTTTAGGTTTTTGCAAACAAAATAAAATTTATGTGTTAATCTAGACTCAAATCGATTCTTCTAAGGTATATCTCAATTCCTCTAATATTTATATTTTATCAATTTTAGGTGCCTACTACGGTGCGACATTTCCTAATTCTAATAATTCTGCCACATCCCTAATCACATCTATTACATTGCATCTCCATTTTCAATTGCATTTGATATGTTGTTTTGTTGCTTTCAAAGTGGTATTTAGCATGTTTTACTCTTTGGTAAAATATAACCTTTGCTTGTTAGAATTTAAGGAACGATATAGATTCTATTTTGATAATGAAATCATGTTTAAAATAATTAAAATATTGAAAGATGCAAAGATGTAAATAAGATCACTATTTCGTTAGAGAGAATTCAAAGAACAATTCGGTACAAGTTGTAGGGAACTATTCTCTCTAAAAAATACTACTCTCTATACTAACAGACATTCCTTTATACAATCGTAAAGGAAGCCGGAAAGGAACACTCATGCCAACAGTCAAGGACTGCGAACACAAGCTAAATAATGAGATCTAACAAACTCGCTAACGAAATGAAGACTTTATTACATAAAAGGATCAAACATATCAAAATAGGTTTGCATAGAAAACTTGACACAAAACAATTATTAAGAAACCTAAGAATCTCCCTCTTTGTGTCAGGATGAAAAATTGTCTTCATTTCTTCACGTCAAACACCTTTTTGATTGTCCGAACCAAGATCATACGAACCATAATCCACCAACGGAACATATCAGAAACACATTTCACATCATTTGTGTTTTTTGTCTTGCAGGCTTCGGGTCGAGAAAGAACAAGCGAAATTATGGCAGTTGGATACAGATGTTTATCTATTACGAACATCATGCAGTTTCACATTTCTCCTTTTTCTGAAGTTTTATAAACAACTCCCAAAGGTTCTTTCTGAATGAACCCAACATTAAGAGTTTCAATATTTTCAGGTTGGTCCATGGGATTCAGAATAGGTTTCCTGTTCAACACTTTTCCAACGTCAACAACCATCTTGGAAACTTCTTGAATGTACCCTCTGATCATTCGTGTCAGGATCTGAAAGATAGGTTCATACTTCACTGTATCATTTGAAATGAACCTTTACGAAACCTTCAACATCAAAAGGCTTTCCCATTTTCAGACCAGCAATCATCTTTAAACTCCAAGTCTTATATTGAGGCTTAGATTGCTTCGTAAAAAAAAAATTGAAAAGTTTCTTAGTGATGGCTTTATTACTCATTGGAACATGAACTGCTTTATCAAGACTTAGGAACATAAAAGCTTTGGGAATCAATGGGAAGTCCAATTGACATTCTTGATTATTTTCAACCGAGAATGAAGTATCTGGTTCCAACCAAAAGTATTCAACTTTCTTAACAACTTCTTTCTCCATTCTAGAAGCAGTCTATTTTGGAAACAAAGCCATTTTCGTTGCAACAATCTCTTCAACATTCTTTTTCTCAACATCTTTTCGATCAAGCTGTTCTTTTATCGCTTTCAAATCATCTACCTCTTTATCTCTTGCAATATGTGCTTTCTTTTCTTCTTCAGCTAAATTTGCATTCAAATCTTCTTCAGAAATCACATATATTTTTCCTTTTCCTAATCTAGAAGCTACATTAACCTTCAGATCAGTAAATGATTTCTCTTTGAAGTCTTTCAACTTTTCTTCCAAATATCCTTTTTGAAGATGAACTTTCTTTGCATTAGCCTTCTCAATGTTCCTGGTATGATAAGGATATCTGGTGACAACTTTTGAAATTGGAATTTAAGTATTAATAGGATTTTCAACATTTTTAGATCCTATTCATGTGTTTAAATTCTCAGGCTCTTTCTCAGCTCCCTCTCCCCTTGTTGCGAAGTAGCCCTGCTACTCATAACATTTATGAGTTGATTGATTTTAGAAAGAGTGGATTAAGTTTTGCATGCATAATGTTGTTGATTTGTGGAATTTCATAACTGAATTTCGCATCCATTAGTTGCGAAATATAATCAACATATGGTGTATCATTGTCTTCAACGATTTTTTCCAAACACTGATTTATTGCAAAATTGTGACTCTTCACCAAAAGAAGTTCTTCACTCATTTGAGAATTCAAACTATTAGTTGCATCTACTTTTTTTTTTAAGAATTTTCTTCTCTTGTGTCATTTCAGCAAGATCATTCTTCACTTTGTTTTCACCTTGCAAAAGATTGTTCAAGGTAAGAACAGAATTCGACACTGAAGTATGATGATCGACATTATCCTTTTGAAGGCCAAAAAGAAGACTAAACATATATTCTTTTTCCAAGGAAAGAAAATAATGAAATCCCTTTAGTTCATTCTCAACTAAAACAAACCTAGCCTCAGAATTTTCTTGAAAATCATTAAGAATAGTATTCACATTCTCAGAAACCTCTTTCACCTTATCAAGAGCATATTCAATCTTCTTGTCTATTTCCCTGACCAAGTTTTTATGATCCTCAAAAGTCTTTGCATTTGCTGAAGTAAGCATTTCAATAAGAGCTTTATAATTTGAAACCACATTTTCAAAATTAGTGGTTGAAAAAGTCCTAGTATGAGCAAGCAAACTATCAAGCTTCTTGTTATAAACACGATACTCCTTTTGAGTAATTGGAACTATAGAATCAACATTATCAATACTCTATTCTTCAAAAAAATCAACATGAGGTGGCATGAAATCGTCAAACGAACCACTAACATCTAAATTTGGTTAATTGAAATCCATAAATTCAGGTTTTGAACTGGAAGAAGAAGTTGTATACCTTGATGGTGATAGAGTATGTTCAAGAATAGGTGAAGATGGTGGATTTTGAACAATAGTTTCTAGTGGAATAGAAGTAGAAATTGGTTTAGAAGTTAGACTGGTAGAATCAGTAAAGATAGGAGTTGAAATTGGTTGAGTTGTGGAAACAGGAATTGATGATGTTGGAATATGAACCAAAATAAATTGAACATGAATGGTGGTCATAGAAATTGGAATTGTTGTTGCTAGAGGGGTTTGCGAAAGATTCAGAATTGGATTCTTGAGAACAATCTCAAAAATGTCATTTTCATTCGGAGTTGGATGTTGAATTGGTGGAACAACTTGTGAAGAAGTTGGAGTGGATACTTGATGTAGAGCTGTAGTGGAAATAGGCTCTGAAATAACCTTCTAAACAAGCGAATTATTTGTTGTATATTATTCATTGTGAAAGCGAGCATCTCGAACATTATTGTGAGTCCTTTCCTCTGAATCCTGATCCACAATAGCAGGCTTGGATTTCTTGGATTTCGTTTTTCGTTGTTTCTTATTTTTCTTAGGAGATGCCTCAACAACAACCGTTGCTTTGCTTTTGCATTTAACACCTATTCTCTTTGGAATATCCCCAACATCTAATATATCTTTCAAATCATCTGGAATCTGTCTTTCACCAGAAATTGGAATTTTCTTATACTTGCGAATTTTAACATTGTTAGAAGGAACCCAAGAAAGCATCACCTTCGGAATAGATACAATAAATGTAAAGAACTAGGGATCAGTAGTAACAAAGTTAAAGGTATGCATTTTGGAGATAAATGCTATAACTGCATTAGTCATTATAGGCACATTGTAGTAATTTTGATATCTAACCACTACAGACCAATAGCAAGCACATGAGATTTTAGAATCCTTCTGTAACGAGTTAGGACTTTGAACAAATTGAGCCCATAACACTTGACCCATATCAACCTTATCACCAGTGAATAAATTGTAAAGATGTGTATGAAACATTCTGCTAGCACTCTCTGAACTAGTAACTCTTTCCACAAAAAACATTTAATTAGAATAGTGAAAAGAGTATTCCAAAACAGAGGTAAATCATATTTCCTAAACTTGGATAAAACAGAGATGTCAGAATTGTACCCCATTTGAAATCATGCCCTGATGATATTTGTAGCATACACCAAATCAGGATTGACTGCGCCATCGACTGGAGTTAACCCTAAAAGGTTGCCGAAATTTTCTTTGGAAGTTGAATTATATGTCCTGGAACTTCAAAGTTTATCACCTCCAGAGATTTGATGTAAATCGTTGTTGAGTAAGCCATGGATAGAGTAGAAATCGGAACATCTTCATATAGTGTTAAAGCTCTTTTCAAAGATGAATAGTTAAGACATTCGATTAAAGGTTGAACAAACATCGAATACTTTGAAGCGTGAAGATCAGCAACCAAGTTTTGATGTTGCTTGATATTCAACATTATTGATGTTGCCGATTGATCCATAAATGAAGAGTGCTCAAAAGAAGCCATTTGAAGAGCACAAGAATCAGAAAATATTTGAATAATAGAGAAGATCTTCAAAAGCTTTGATAATTTTGGAAACGTAAAGATCTAATTGTAGATGAAAATGAGATTAAATAGGACTGTAGAATCTCAAAATGTTTAAATTTTGAATTTGAACCGTAAATCATAAGTGGTGAGAGAAAACGCCATCAAAATGAAGGCATTTCGCTTCAAACGTCATCTGAAAATTCCCACGCCAATCATCCAGGAAATTAGGTGCAATAGCCTCTTGACAACTCACAATCATTGTAACAGAACCACTTTTGAAAAATCGCACCAATTTTAAATTTGAATGATCTTTCACAAAAAGAATCGTGCCATTTCATTTTGTAGCTGTTTCGCAATCATTGATCCACCCTTCAATTCGTAAGAATTGAACCGTATCTATTGGAATTACGACCAAGAATATATCCATAAGAGAAATTTTAGAATAGTAACAAAAAACAAGAAGAGTTTCATTCAGTCACAGGAAGAATGACTAAAATAACTAACTAGACTTTGTGAAATATTGGTTCATGTTGGTTTGACCTGAGACCTCAAGGATTCCAAGTGAAGTGTGTGAATGTGTTAAAGAAAATAGATTTTGTAAATAGGAAAGTTTGGCGGCGCATCACGTTATCCTACGGTGATAGTAGGCGATCATCACATAGTGTTTTATAACACCATATGTTCCGAATTGTTTTTATATGAAACCTAAGGGTGCTATGCAAAATGTGATATAGATATAGACGAAGCAATATATGGAATGATGGTGGTATATTGAAACATAGTTCGTTTCATCCGTCATTTCAGAAGTAACAATCCAGAATCTGTAAACGAATTCACCGTCAATTCCTTTATGGTATTGATTTGTAGGTCTCACTCTTCATCATGGTGATAATGAGGAAAAGATCATAAACACATATTTTTGGCACACCTACATCCTAGTAGCTTTTATAATAGAGATGGCTTGGGATATGCAGCATAGTGTAATGCCCCGATTCCCGAGTATCAATTTATGGTTATAAATTCTCATGATTTCAAGGTCTACTCGACGAGTTGGTGGCCTGACTCGCCGAGTAGCAGCGGGTTGGTCCGCGAGTTTAAGTGACCTACTCGCCGAGTCCAAGAAGGGACTCGATGAGTAGGAGCTGGCAGATGAAACCCTAAATCCCGGGGTTTTGCACCCTATTTAAAGGATCATTGGCCTCCCCCAGCCTCCCCTTTACTGCTTCTTTTCCCTCTAAAACCCTAATACGTGTGTGTGTGCTCCATTGTGTGTTTCAAGCCTTGGGAAGAAGATTCTTGGAAAAGGGAGCTTGAAGATCAAGTAGCTAGCAGCAAGGAGCTTGTGTGGACCTGAAATCTACCTCAGATAGCACCACTTGAAGGTATCAAGTCGTTACCTTGACCTTCTTTCCTTCTAGATCTCCTTTGGGTTGAAGTTTAGGGCTTTTCATCATGTTATGAAACTATTCTTTGGTATGAGATAAGATCTGAAGTTGCAACTTCAGATCTGAACCCTCCTTGGTCTTTAGGTCCATAAAGCTTACAGTCTTAGCAAGTATGAACCCTTCCTTTTGAGTTAAACCCCATTTCAAGTGTAGATTTGGCATTATGGGTCATTAGAGCCTTGCATGCACGTAAAGTTGGCAACTTTACGTGATAGACGGGCATTGGGAAGCTGGATGTACAATTTGGAGCCTTAGCGTGACTTAAAATCATCTGTATGAATAAAGGACTGATGAGACTCGGCGAGTTGTATGAACGACTCGGCGAGTCATATGAATACAGTCAGGTACCCGACGAGTTGGATGAACAACTCGGCGAGTCAGATGAAGGATGCCTTGAACTCGGCGAGTCAGTCGAATGACTCGGTGAGTCGGCTAGGGTTTCTCCCGAACCTTTGGGCACGCATGGACTCGGCGAGTTAAAGGGAAATCGACGAGCCAACCAACGATTTCACGACTTCTCGAGTTCAGGAAGGACTCGACGAGTCGGTGAACTACACTAGATGAGTCGAGTCAACATGGACTAGTGACATTGACTGTGGACTTTGACCTTGACCAAGAGTTGACCAGTTGACTTCTGAGGGTATTTTGGTAATTTGGAAACTTATGAAAAAGGGTTTTATGGTAGCTATAGGTGGGGGAGTTCGTGTTGGTGATCCGGGAGTCGAGCTTTCTAGTTTCAGACGACAGTTGCGAGGTGAGTTATCCTCACTATAATAAGGGGTCTAAGGCACCAAGGCCGGCCCATTTGATATGTTATCTTGAGCTGTGTTAGATGCTGAGTATGACTTAGTGTTGCATACTAGTGGATATGCCTGTTAGGGAGGTCAGTAGGACTACCTGTGATGTTATATGATTATTGCATGCTCGATTCTTATGATTTATGTGTTTGTTATATGGGATGGGTTGAGGTTCTACTGCTTCGTGCAGTAGCCAACAACCCTAGGAGCATTCCAGTTACGGGCTAAGGGAGACTCGTATTGTGGGCTCGGGAGCATTCCAGTTACGGGCTGAGGGAGACTCGTACTGTGGGCTCGTGGGTATTACAGTCTGTAGGGCTGTGGACCCGTTATGTGCTGTGCTGTTCAGTTTATTATGATATGATTGTGTGGATTGTATGTGTATCGGTATTTTGGTGGTAACTCACTAAACTTTCGGGCTTACAGTTTCAGTTTATTGTTTCAGGTACATCAGGGGATCACGGCAAGGCGAAGGCATGATCGTACAACTCCTCATATTTTGTTTATGTTTCTGGGAATACTCTGATAAATAATATTTTGAAAACAAATTGTAATGTTTTAATGGATTTGGCATGCTTCTAAAAAGTTTAAATTGGTTTGAAAATTTTGGGTGTTACAAGTTGGTATCAGAGCCTTGGTTTGAGTGAATTGGAGGGACACTCGTGTAACTCCAGTCTCAAATCAAGGGAAGGATTTTCCAAAATGATTTTTTCAAAAAGGTTATCAAAATAAGTAAAGGAGGATGCAGGGTGTACGATCAGCCGGAGCCAGTAAGTAGACCCCAAAATACCATACCAGTTATTTGATATTATGCGATATGTTAGAACAACATGCTAGTAATAAGATAGGGATCCTCAGGAATAATATGATAGAATTGCCTGATCTTTGATGCCTTATCTTATGTAGAGTACCTCATTGATTGTTGTATGACTCTTTCATGTGTGAATTAACTATTGGGTGGATACTCCAAGTCACATGCTACATGGGTTAAATGATCTTAGGGTAAGAGATTTGGTTCTGCTGCGCAGCTCTTGTATGAGTCCAACCATTGTGGGACTAAATCTTTTAGTCTAAGATTGTTTAAGCCATGCGGTATGTGATTGTATTCATACAATAGTTAACTAGCACCAATGGAGGGTCGCGTGGCAGTCGGTGGATAGGTGGGTAATGAGAGGCTGGGAGGCCAGTTATGAGATATATTTAGCATTCCTCTAGGAGTGAGGATTGAGAGCTCGCTATGTTTATGTATATTGTTAGGGCGTTGTGGTGATACTTGAGACAAATATGGGTAAGTGTGGAAGGTAGTATGGGCCCGTACTACTGAAAGCACAGGACCCATACACGTGTCAAGGAAGTCACAACCCCTAGGGTTTTGGTTGTGAGTAGGTTTCCCGTCGTTTATGTGGAATATCTGATATATTCTCGGTATATGTTTAGTATGGTGATGGCGAAACGATTTGAGGCGGGATCCGGATCAGGATCGGGAGCGAGTGGCCAGGATAGGCCGGTATTGTTCTTCGATCAGACACGAGAGATGATTTCCGTGGAGGTTTCTCAGATTCTGCAAGAATAATTGTTCGGTGTCGTGGACCGGGTCACCACCAGGGTGATCGCCAAGTTCGAGGAGCAAGTTGCAGCGTTGCAATCTGTGAGAGATGTTGCTAACGGGATGACCACTGGGGGAGTGTTGGTGGTGGGGTCACAACTAGGAAAAAGGAGGAGGGACCTTTCAGCAGAGGACGTAGAGTTGGAGACAGCTAACCTGAGTGCTGGAAGTCAGGAGGGTCAGGAGGTGTCTGGCAAGTGTGGGGGAACCCACGGATTTGCTTGTCACCAATTCAGGTGCTACAAGTGCGGAGAGAGAGGGCATGTGCAACGGGATTGCAAGAAGGATCAGATATGCTTTCACTGTCACCATCCAGGTCATTTCAGGTCTAGCTG